AGTGAGTGACAGTTATAATCCACAGAAACGATTATTAATTCCCCCCTCCCCCACCCCACCAAGAAACCAGATGGAAGGTTCCATAGAACCATGTGGCTGGGCGTGATGATAGCAACCCCAATGAATCTCAAAGCAAAGGAAGTTGAGGGGGACAGAGTAGAAACCAGAGGTGGGGGGGCGGGGAAGGGTTGCCATGGAGATAAGATAGTGGGGCTTCAGAGACTGTATGTAGTGAGTGTCCCATCGAAACACAATGGCCAAGGCCCCTCTTCCCAAATAAACCTGAAGAAAGGTCTTTTAGAAACCAGGTGGCCCAGACTGACATTCCCACGGGAGTATTCAGGCAGGTGTGTGGGAAACCGGCAGCCTTCGTTTCCCACATCAGTGCGCTCACCGGCCAGGTGGTGGCAGTGTTGGGCTAGACAGCGGGAGGGGGGGGCGGGTCCCGTGGAAAGCGGCCATCGGGAGCGCTTCTCCGATGCCTGCCCCTCCGTACCAGAGACTCGAGTTACTAGCAAGGTGTTCAGGAAAGTGCAGGGACCCCAGAAACCTGCCGTTTGCTCCACAGAAACCCAGTGGGCAATTGACAGGAAAGGGTTGCATGTGGGTGGAGCCTAAACACTTATTTTGTCCAGCCTGGTGGCCGTGGGACTATCAGGCCCATAGGAAGTAGATAGTAGATCCCGACGAATGCAGATAAGTTTCAGAGAACGCGGGCCTTGGGTCCCATAGAAAGCAGGCAGTGGGTCCCATGGAAATAGGGCCGCGAGTCCCATAAAAAGCGGGCAGCTGGTCCCGTAGAGGGCAGGCATAAGGAAGGTGACCGACTTTCCTCTCTGGCGGGATCAAGGCCTCCGGCCCTGCGTGCCCCACGGATCTGCGGGAGTGGACCCCGAGGGGCAGGGTCTGGACCCCACCGGGGCTGGGTATAGGGTCACCGAGCTAGCGTTGGGTCTTATGGGGAAAAGGCGGCCGGGAAGCGGGGTGCCAGGACGGGGGTGGGGGGTGGCCCGCGCAGCCTCTCTGACCCTCGCGTGTCGCCGTCCCCCGCAGACACGTTCGCCAGCAAGGTGGCGGCCCTGCAGGACCAGTGCGCGGACGCGTCCATCGGCAACGTGACGGGCTCCAACGCCGTGAACGTGTTCTTGGGCCTGGGCGTGGCCTGGTCGGTGGCCGCCGTGTACTGGGCGGTGCAGGGCCGGCCGTTCGAGGTGC